ATGGGCTAAATTACCTCAGTGCTGGCATGGCGATGGCTCGTTGGAGAAAATGGCTGCTGCTCCTCCCCAGCTGAGCTCCACTGAGTCTGCCAGAGATGATGGATCCATGTGAATAAATGAATATGATGAAAGAGCGCACAGATAAATAAAAAAGGAGGTTAGGCTGTTTCTTTTAAACAAGAAGGGGATATGGAGATGAGGAGAAAATAGAGTGGATGTTATGATGGAAAAATTAGGAAAACCACATGAGCAGTTGCCAGGGCTTCGAGGCTCCTCTGCCTAAAATAACCTTTAATTGAACATTAACTTTCAAAATCTGTTATCTTACAGGATGGTGAAAAACTTACCTGTCATTTGAAAGCAAAGTAATAAAATAGTATTATGGCTGATCATTTTACTTCTCATAATTTCTTATCTTACAGTATAAACTTCAGGATGATGCAAACACTCAATAAAAGCAGCTCTGTCTGCTTCAGCTTAAGTTTCACAGTTGCATAATAAAAGCTGCTAAAACAATAAAAATAAATGTAAGCTTTAGATGRTTTAAACGCAGACACTGTTAGGGTTGTCAGAGATATCAAAGGCAAAACAACAGAGGAAAAAGCAAAATGTTTGATTATGATGGAAGCAGTAAAACTCGGTTTTGTTGCCCATATCTTTGATTGTGTTTTAGTTTGATCCCTTAGCCTGTCCCGTGACGAGTGTATGATGAGGAAGTGTTTATATTTAACAATCTTTATTACAAACTTCATCAAACTAAACTGCTGAGCTTTAAAATATTTTGTTATCTGAGTTATTGTTGTGTAAAATAGTTAAATAAACTGAAATACAATMCAGTGAAAAGTCCCTGGAAACCAAAATGTTAATGAAGGGTTTTGTTATTCCACATCCGATTTAATCTTGGAATGTGCATGGAAAAAAAGAAAGCCACTGTGCCTTTAAAAAGCTAAAAGTTTAAAGTTATAAACGTGTTGCTTTAATTGTGGTGGGCACAGTTCACTTAAAGCACTAAAGCACTAATAGGGGAACTAATTTCCTGATTAGTGCTTTAGGGCTTTTGCTATTTTTTTAAATTCTTTAGTGGATTAGTACTTGTTAAATTTAAAACCACTAACTGAGGTCTTTAGATGATATTATCAACAATATTGTTCACAGTTGAGGGTGAAAGCTGCCACACATTTTGTTCATATGTGTGTATCTACAAGGTAAAATGTGTCAAACTTAAGGCCCATGGGCCAAATATGGCCTGCAGGTGACTCCCATTTGGCCCGCCAAGGGYACTAAGTGAAAATATTCTGCACACAGGAAATGTTGTCCCATGTTGACTCTGAAGATTATTAGTGCTTTAGAATTAGCTTTTGCTAAATTTTTAAGTGTGTTGGTGCTTTAGAAATAGGAGACCTAAACATTTGAGTTAGTGCAACTAATATTTGGATTAGTGCTGCCCACCACTGTGAACAGGTTCATCAAAAGAATCTAAAGAATAGGGTTGTTATGTTCAGCACATTTCAGGTCAAAGGTCAGAATCTACCTCCAGTGGTTTATTTTCGTCCCCCCTCATCCTGTCATGGTCACAGAGAACTGAGGCCATCTTCAGTATGAACCAATGAGAGGCAGAGTGGGAGGGGTCACCCACACGTGGACAGCCAATCACAATCACACTGATTCTGGGTCATTGTTTCACCTAACGTGTGTGTTCTTGGACTGTGGGAGAAAACTCCCACACTAACGAGAACAAGTTCCACTAAAAGCTCTGGTGGAGAATYAAACCTGCAACCTGCTTGTTGTGAGGAGCCAGTTTTAAGAAACTAACAAGTCTGACAGAAACTTAAAAAAATTGTATGTATTTTGCAAAGTGGTGTCAGGCAATTAAGTGCAAATATTTTGTTACTTTACTTAAGTATGCAGTTATCTGAATTTACTAGTCCTTACAAATAAAAAAGTGTTTTATTGCTATTTAACTTTAGCTTGTTCTACTTCTATACTTTAAGTAGTTTTAAAACAAYTTTTACACTTTTGCTTGGGTAAAAATCTTAAGATGATACTTCTACAAAAAAAAATTAACCCCTAAATTTCTACTTAAGTAATAATAGTAAAACTTTTGACACCTCTGACATTGCAGAACTGTAGTAATTTTTACACTATCTTGTGTTTTTCATACCTCACCAGTCCTGTTTTTGATGTATAAACCAAACTGTATGATTAGTGGAAGCAGAACCAGACTTGGTTTCTCAGCTTGACTGAGCTGTGTGCAGCAACACCCTTCAGCCCCTCAAACCTCCAGAYGTTTGATTAAATCCTCTTTTCACGTTTTTTTTCTTYYTTTTTTTTTGCGAAAAAGTGGTGACACTGTGTTCTTCTTATTAATAATCACTTTCAGGTTCAATAATTGAAAACTAAAATGTGAAAATTCTGTCTTTTGACACAAAGAATTAGAAAAAAGTGGTGAAGATTGAAATTTGTTGCATTGTAACTTTGAACTCATGAACAAGGCTTTAACCAACAGTGAATCTGCTAAACCAAAAAAAAAAGGTGAATTATAAACCTCTTCACAGCTTGAAATAGTTGGAATTCACTAATATTTTTATTGCAGAAATGTGAAATTCTTAACTGATTAAAATTCTATTTGTAGATATAATTGTGGGCATTTGTAGATATCCTTGGGGACCAAAACTGAAGTGAAAAACATTGAAAACAAACCTTGGTTTTTTCTTCTGCTACTAAAAGGAGACAGAGAAATCTGCTGGGCCACAGGTGGTAGAATGCTTCAGGTAGGCGCTACTACAAATTGTTCCCAATTGACATTTTTTTTCTCCATTCCACATCTTTTAGGGATTTGTATCTCCATGACTACAGGGGAGAGAAGAGGAGCGGATCAGAGCTAATTTAGTCCACTTTAGTCACCGCCATAATGCTGGCGCTGTTACAAACCAGCACATTTTCGATGAGCAATCAAAGTTGGACGGGTATGTCGCCCTCGCCATCAGTGAGTCAGTCAGTCATGTGTCCTATACATAAGAGCTCCCAGCCAAAGAAATACTCACTTCGGGATGCAGTAATGAGAGGTGTAAGTGTGTGTAATCTGTGCGTAATTTTACTTCCTGCCGTTTCTTTTCTTGATTAGAAAGTGCCACCTTTCACAGTGCATTACCCCTCCTCTGGAAATGTGGGGGCTTTCTTTGTGCTGCTTTCAGTTCGAACTCCGACACTCTGGAGCACACTTAGGGAACCATTTAAGAAACCCGAAGTGAAAGAAAGTAAAAAGGAAATGCCTTTATTTCTACCTCGTCAAAGCCTCCGCAGGGGCTCAAATCTCTGTTTTTGCCTTCACTTCATTTCACCGCATCTATCAACTCCCACCAGGCTTTACAAAACAGCAGCCAGCGCAGGTTTTAATTTCATCGTGCTACCTGGTTGCCTCGGAGATTCTTTCGGACCAATCAAAACGTCTCATTTGTTCTCAGAAACTGGACCTCTTTCTGCTTTGTGTTTTTTTTTTTTTTTATTACCTCCTCTGGAGGTCAGCTTCAGTTTGGGCCCCCAGCCTCACGTTCTTCCACACATTTCCATCCCCCTGCACCGCTCTGAGCTTCTAATTGGGGAGCGAGATCAGCTGACAGGACTTCACAAAATTTCTTTCTAACGAGTCGGCGTAAACCACCGTCCACGGCGTTTGAATACRTTCTCTGAGCTGACCAAAGACATGACTGTATGCTCGAGCTTTACAAATGTGAGATAAATTACTTTCTGTTCCTATTAGGCAGCAAAAACTAAGACTCTCAAACAAAGATGACAAAAATAAAAGCAACGGAACAGTTTACACAGGATTTCAGAGAGAAGCTGATTTAATTTAAACAAAGTTTATCGTTTTAATTGGGGCCATGAATTAGAGGAAAAGAAACTGCGTGCAACTGCATAGAATAATTATGTTAATCATACACTTGAGCAATTATAACTAGATGCTGTCAACGTGAGTTCTGATACTCTTTGGAATAATTTGTGTTTTTGTGCGCTGAAGATGAGATGCTCTGTGTCTCATATTTTACCAAATATTCCCGTTTGATCTCGTATTTATGTTGCGTCCCCTGCATCCTGACTTAGCCACCATATGCAAATGCAGATCTGTGGGGATAGTCTTCAAACAGAGTCGCTCCTGTTTGTGCCTGTGTTACCTATTGTGACACATGAAAGTAAACTCCTTTATCAGTGCTGCAGAAAAGCACAAACTGAGGGTTGCACTTTAAAAACGAACTTTTTCCGCAGTAATTGGTCTTTATAGGGAAATTTATGTGTTTTTGTTTCACTTCGAAATGTTTAAAACTCCAGTAACTAGCTGTCGAGAAACTAATTTTAATTACACCACACAGTTGTGAAGMGGTGAGAAGATTTAATAAACAAGGTTTTGCTGCTCTGGAAACCGTCGGGGAGAAGAGATTAAAAATGAATGCAGTTCAAGAGATCTTACAGGAGTCACCTGAACTGTTTTGTCTGACAGTGTTGTCTTACAAAGCTGATTCTGGCCCCTCTGGTTTAATGATACACCTGTTTATTATGGGAGCAGTTTTTATTGTCAGGTCCTGGAACTTTTTGAATCAGCAGATGAACAATGATCTGTTAGAAGTAAACCAAAAATTAATATAAAAAAGATTAACAATAAAACTGTTTTAATCAAATCACAATCATCCGCTCAGGAGCTGGTGATGCCTGGGTGTCTGATGGGTCATTAAACCTCCATCAGTGCAGAAAATTAAAGTTCATAAACAGAAATTCTGTAAAATATTAATCACAGAACAGAAAATAAAGCCCATGTGTCTCAGTCTTTATCTCAGACCCGTCCTCTGCCTCAAACATTTTTAAAGCTCATGAATTTTTTTGATAGTAAACTTTCAAGAGCCCACAGGATTTCCACAAAACTGTGTTAAATGTAGTGCCAAAAGCACTTTCTTTTTCATTTTTTAAATAAAAAACTCTAAGACTTTCTAAATAATCCACATCTGCAGTGTGTGCTGGCTGTAGCCTGAGGAGCACCGTGTACGAGTCTGCGAGCACTGGAGATTGATGGTTTTCCTGGAAGACCAGCCTCGCTGTTCTCCTGCTGCAGAGAGCCCACTGGGACATGTTTACCAGGAAATGCCTTTTAAATTTCACACGGAGAACGAACAGAACCTGTTGGCAAATCGGACCGCGACAGAAAACAGATGACTGGATCGATGTCTGTGGATGTTGCTGTGGAAGTAAGTAACGAAAACAAAGATGTGTTAAAAAWATGAGTGTGCTCGAATATTTGCCGTATAATAATTTAATCCCTGCAGCCCTGTCAGAGGCCGTGTTGAGGATTAAAGCTCTGTGGTGGTGAAATTTGGCCAWAACGAGAGGAAGAATGACAACGAATGCATAAATTTTACTCCAAAGTAAGATTTTCCCCCTTTTTTTCATTCTTATCTCTATCTGACACCCCTTACCCCCTTCTCCACCCAGCTTTACTCCGTGTAGCTCTAAACTCTTACTTGGTATCTTGCACTTCAAATGGTGCAGAGACAGCCTCGCAGTTCACTTCATCTCCTCCGCTTCCCTACAGAACAGACAGTTATGTGCCCTCACAGCATGCGGTGATGGAGGCGCACTTATGTGAAACTTCTCACACATGAATACACGCTCTGACAAACACGGAGTCGGTGCGCAACCGTGTGACAAATATTTTGTTCACACTAATGCCCAGTGGTGAGCTGCAGAGTTGCTCTGCATGGTGCGCACACACACACACACACACACACACAGATGACTCATTTATATGAGCAGCCAAATGGACTACCAAGTGCTGCTTCACCTCCCATAAAGCTGCCATAAAGCCTCTCTGCCTCTGACAGCTGACTGATTGGTGTTATAACAAGGCAGGTATGTGWGTGAATGCACTGACTTATGTGCACATTCATTCATTGATATGAACTATGAGGTTTCTCTCTGCACATGGTGGGGGGATGGAAGGAAAAAAATGCTTCCAAGTGTAATTATTTGTGTTCAATTTGCACCAATTTTGACAGTCAGGTCCATAATCACTGACATAAAATTCTAAATTAATCTGTGGTGAGACATTTACTGTGGAGTGACGGAGGGTGGTAAATGACATGTGTCAGTAAAGGTGGTATCTCACTCAGCTGCGACTGCTGGGAGACTAGTTTCTGACTCAAAGTGGTGGAAAAGTTGAGGGGAAATRTGTAAAGTTTTTGTTGCGATCTCACTGAAATCTGAGTGTGTGCRACCAAGTGTGACCACTGGGCCACAATGTTGTGAAGTGGTAGGCATCACTTACCCAAAAATTAGCTCCGCAATTTTTAAAGTGCTTATGAAAGTATTTAGGTCCGCAACTTCAAAAATGCTTATGCCATAGAAAAACTAGCGCAAGCTAATTTTAAAGCGCAAGTTCAATTTGACACTTACTAGCTGGCAACAATTCATGTACAATATACGCACAACACTGCCAACTAGCAGTGTATGAACCCATGTGCAGCTTAATCCTACAAGTACCGATTGCTGGGGATGTGATTTCTTGAAACAGACCTTTAGCTCCTGGTGTAAAAATTTAAAAGTTGTTGAGGATTGCTAGTTTGGCTGCTTCTTTGTCTTTTTCTTTTGTTTGTTGTAGATTTTCATTAAAGAAGCATCAATAAAGTAATTTTAAAACTGTTTATTGAAAATCTGAAGCGATGCATTCTGGGTGCACGACAGATTTGATTTGTGACGGGAAACGAAAGTTTTCCATGTAGTTGCACAGTTGACCACTAGATGTCTGTCTAAGCCCGTTGGCGGATTGCTTCGACCAATCACATCAAGTATTGAGCTCCAGCGTTCAAACTTTTTTTTAAAGGAGCTCAGATTGTAAAGTAAAATAAATCAATACAKACAAAATTTTAGTATGATTACAAACGTTAACTGTTTTTGCTATTGCCTTCCTGCCATGTAAGCAGACACAAAGCATTGTRGGAAATAAGAACCGTGGCTGAAGGCAACAGTCAGCAAGGATGTATACCTTCCCAATAAGTATGTTTATCTGGGAGGGGTGCTGTTGGATAGATCACGATATTGTGATTCATTGACAGTCCTTCTGCTGTTCAAGATAATGATGACTGGTAGATAATTAGTTATTAGCGGTACTGCATTTTAATTTTAGAAAGCGCAAATCTGCTTATGAATTATAAAAATAAATAAGATCGCTAAAGTGCAAATGAAATATTTAGATCTGCAATTAGCGGATTTGAGCTTTAGCAAACTGCTGTCCACCACTACTGTTATGGGTTTTAAACAGAGTTTTTGAAAATCATGGCTAATTTTTCTGTGCAAAACTGCATTCTTGGCCATGCACATTTTGTTGTTGCTCATCTCAGCTCATTTTCTTCTACCCTGTATTTATGAGACTGTCACTATTTATTTTCCACACACTGTATTGTTGAATCAAATTAGATACTGTTAATCACAGAAAGCTTCATTTTATTTACCCTTCACTAAAACATAAATGTGTATTCGCCCAGATACTAAAAACTTTGAAAGCTGGCATCACAAATTTATTCCCATCCAGCCACAAGAGCACACTGAGCCTGAGCACTGAGGTCATTCTCTCGTGTCAAACAGAGGCGTGGCTCACAGCTGGCTTTTCAGTTTATCCCAAAGATGCGAGGGGAGGTTAAGGTCAGGGCACTGTGCAGCATTATCAAGTCAAACTCAAACAATTGTTTCTTGTTTCTCAGAAGTATCCCCTGCCTTTATTAAATAGTTGGCCAAGACAGAACCAAAAATCAAAGGTATGCAACCAAAATAATCTGGTTATGTGGACTGTACTTATATAGCACCTTTCTACCCATCCAGGGCACTCAAAGCGCTTTACACTGCAGACATTTACCCATCCACACACACATTCACACACTGATGATGGCAAACTACAATTGTAGCCACAGCTGCCCTGGAGCGCAYTGACAGAGGCRAGGCTGCCATACACAGGCGCCACCGGACCCCTCTGACCACCATCAGTAGGCAAGGGGGGTAAGGTGTCTTGCCCAAGGACACAACGACTGAGTCAACTGGACGGGGATCGAACCGGCGACCTTCCGGTTCCAGGACAACTCCCCTAACCACTCTACCACAGCCGCCCCTTAAATGTATCAACYGAAAGTGAGAACTGAGCAGGAGGAGATGATGGCAGAAAAAGGGAGCCCTCACACCTCATTGGTGACAGGCCAGCCAATTCACAGCACCGCAGTCAGCCTCCTTTGTAAGTCGGTCTAATCATCATCCTGCTCCATTATGAAGAGTCAACTTGTGCAACACTGGCGTGCACGCTCCTCTCTCCCGCTTTGATTTAAACAGGGTGAAACTGTTACACTTTGTATGCATTTTTGCAGCTTTAGCACAACAAGAATGAAGGATTACAGGACTTTATCCRCCCCAATGCTACAAAGACGGCCTCCTTCCAAGAGTGCCACTGATAGTGATTCCTCTAAAGCCAAATCCTTGGCACAGGCATCTGAGATGGAGTAAAACCAAAGTGGTAAAAAAAAAAAGTTCACCCCTTTGACCCAGTCTCCACCTCCTTTAAATACAAAATAAAAACATTAAGATTAGAAAGGAACCTGCTTTCTTTTGCATCACCTTTCTATATAGAAGTTATTATCACACATTGTGGAGCCAGGGTGTTTTTGCTCATCTCTGTCCATTTCAACACAGACTCTGAGTTTGACCTCTTGTGAKATCGCATAATGTTGATTTCAAGGGTTGACCAAAACGACAACAACTTTGGTGTTTGTTAACATAAGACAATTTTTGTCAAAAACTGGTGGCAAGAATGGGAGAAGGTGATAGGCTAGGCCAGTGTTTTTCAAAGTGGGGGGCCACCAGGGGACACTGGAGGGGCCTTGGGAAGCTGGAGGGAAGATAAGAAAATAACGTAAACATTAAATCTAAAAATGTTTTAAATTATAAAATCTAATCTATTTTTAATCATTTTAAAATACAATTTATAACAATATATTAAAATGTTATTTAAGAAAACAGTTTGTTGAAAAGTTGTTTTTTGTAATGGGATTATAATACAGAGTTCAAATGTTAATTAATAAAAGTCTTATACAAAACAAATGTAATAATTATTGAATAGTGAGTAAAAGTGAGAAAAAAACATTTAAARTTGATGTTTCTTTACGTATTTTGTAGAATTGTTAATTTGGGTTTGCAAGTGGAGTCCCGGGCTTTTGGCCATTCAGCTGTTTTCAAACCAGAACATTCATTTCACTCCAATGAGTTGTTTATTATTATTTATTATTTTAACTTTATTTCTTTTCTAACAATGAACCTGGTTTCTTCTGTTTAACATCACTGTTAAGCTAATGGCAAAAAATATAAATTTTATCTTTTGTGTCTAGTTTTAAAGGTTTATATTAACTAACAGTTTTTACACCTTTTAGAGAAGTAAAAAGGACTCGTACACACACACACACACACACACACACACACACACACACACACAAACTTCATTATCCCTCCCCAAATGGAACAACACTCCCTCTGGTTCATATTCTCTCTCCAATGTTCACATTTTAAATTGGTATGCTCACTCTTGCTGCCTCCCACTCTCTTTTCTAGTGCACAAACACACATACACACACACACACACACACACACACACACACACACAGGCACACAACTACAGCAGCCCACAGCAGTTGCAGCACTCCCTGGTGTGGACAGCTCCATTCATTGTGAGTGAATAATGTCCAAGGTCAGCGCGTACGCAGAAGGTGATCATAAAAACCAGACTGCTGCTAACCACGGGCGAATCGCTGAATTAGACAGATGCTGTTTGAGAGGGAGGCAAGACAAGGGTGGCAAAGCGTGAGGCAGGTGGCGTGAGAAGGAGGAGAGGCAGAGAAGTTGAAAAAGAAGAATGGAACATGGAAAAGATTAAGGAAAAACACAGGCAGAAGGGAGAGGTGGGCTAAGGCAAAAAAAACCTGGCGAGATAAAGGAGTCCAGCTGTTTCTCCTTCTGATCAGGCGGATCACACAGAAACATAACAGACCTTTGCTCTCCCTTCGTCTCTCCTAATGTCACTCTCATCGCCCACTGGTCATTGTGGGAATTCACGAGTCCATTCATGTCACAGGCCACATCTGGGGACYGAATTTGGACCTCATACCAGCAGGCTGAGGAGAGCTTGTTATGCCAGAGACACAATCTGCTTTTCAAATTTGATTTTACTGCATTTTCACTCAGTAAAATGTAATCGGTTTCTGATTTAATTGGGGTTATAGTGAAGGTCAAGCTGAGCCCTCTGGGGATGAATGAAAGTGTTTGCTAAACTGCTGGTGTGTGCGTGTGTGTCAGTGCTTGTGTGTGTTGTCTCTGTGGACAACAAGCCAGATCAATGTAAWAACACACTGAGTGTCTGAGTTTATTCCACCATGGAGCCAATACAAAGTTTAGCTTTCACAATTAAAAACTAGCATAACTAAATTAGCCTGAAACCAGACAAATTTCCTTCTTTTACTCTCAATGAGTATTTTAGCCACACCACAAAAACAAACTTTTAATCAGTATTGCCCATGTATGTTCATTGTCATTGGTGGGCCCAATGGATCATTAGAGCTAAACAAAAAATTTTTTGAAGCTCCTGTGTTGAATAA